TGTTTGGTTTCGTTTCAAGGCAGAATATGGCTTCCAATGGTCTAAAATCCTTGTCGAAGTTCCTACAGTAATCCTACAGTAACGAAGTGCGATTGGTGATTTGCTCGATACTGCAAATTCTAAGTTGAAGCCTCCTCTACATAATAGTACATGAATGGCAGGAAAAGACACAGTGGTAAGAGAGATATTAACGATCGGAAAGTGTGTACTTACTTTGGACACCCTGTATATTAGAACATTACGAAAGTCGTTTCGCTTCGAGGCGTAATATACAGCAGAAAAATGATCCTCGAAGCAGATTTTCATCATCTTTTGAATGGTAATCATCCTCTTCCAGTTCAACTAACGAACTCTCAAATGACAAAAAAACTGCGACCCATGGTTTTGCCACAAGGCTATTTTCAAAAATTTCTGTACCTACCCCATAAAAGTCTAAGTAACGGGTAAATAGAGCAAACACTACAAGATATGAAAACATTTTTTCTTTCCTAAGTTTTCTTTTCAAAATTTTAAGTATTGATGATATTGATGATGATAATAAATGTAAATTTTTGATGATATCAGATTCTATGTTTGGTTAGTTTGAACCTCAAAAACACCAACCAGCAAGCAATTTGGGTGTCATTTGATGCAGCTTTTCCTTCTCTTTCTATGTTTGTGTGCTTCTCGATTTATAAAGATCTCGATGGTAAAAACCTCATAATTAACGCTCCCCGGGGTATACGCGGAAAATTCAAGGTTGGTATTTCGAATCTGTAAACGCTTGTTTGCTTTGCATAATAAATGTTCGATCATAATCCACCTCATAGGTGCGATAAGGTGAGAATGACCTCTCCAGGGTGAAGGGGGTCACGGTGGTCGCAGCCCCTCCAGGGTGAAGGGGGTCAGAGGGGGTGGGGGGGGGGGGGTTGGGGGGGGGGAGAGTGCGTGTGTGAATGTGGGTGTGCAATTACACACAACGCGCCGCCAGGAACGGCATCGTTCCTTTCACAACCTCATTTTATGAGGACCGATTTTATAGGACTGAAAAAGTGAGTGTGGTCAAAATTATTGGATGGTACACAAGTGCAAAACTGAGGTTTTTGCAGGCGTAATGTTCGAGAAGGAAAGGTTATACAACGCTTGTCACTTGCTTCATACGAATATGAGATGAAGGTCCGGACCGACCGATGACTGTATTCTTGTCTTAATGTTGCCGTTTCATGCTTTGTAATTTAATGAAAATATTGAAAGATGACGACTATCAACTATTGTGAGGCCATCAGAAGTTGTAATAGAAAGTGGTTCTGAGAAGTGTGATGATAGGAAGTATCAAAAATTATGAATGATGAAGCACGTAGAAAGAAGTAAATTATTGTCTGCCCAGGAAACTCTGAAAGATACAGTAAAATTATTGCATGTATAAATGGCCATTCTTGGTAAATGTGCACGTAAATGGTAAGAAGGAAACACACCGGAGCAGGATTGGAACCTTCTCGTTATCTTCTAAAAAAGGCATTGGATGACAATGGAAGAAACAAGGACAGGAAAATCGGAACGCCTGACCGCCACGAAAAATTTATTCCGCTGAAGACTACTGGACACTGCGTAATACTGAACTTGTTAAATTCGGCAATTGGAAAAATTAGGGTTGTTGAAACAAAGTGAGGTTGTAACTACTTCTTGTTTAAATTTAGATTTAGCATAGGAGATATTTGTACGAAAATTGTTTGTGTATCGGAAAGGAGGGAGAAGATTTATAGGCAAAATTTGAAAAAATTCAATTAAAAATTCATAACGTTTGTAGATGAACAGCTAGTACAAGGAAATGCTCACCATTGAAACCGTTTCTTCCTCTGCTTTCAGAAAATATATAGTTTGTCTGGGATCCGTTGAAAAAAGTGCGTGGTGAAGGGGGTGCCTATTGATTTCTGGAGATTTTCGAGTTTTCAACATAAAAAAATTCATAACTTCTGTAGATGAACAGCTAGTACAAGGAGATGCTCACCATTAGAACCGTCTCATTCTCCGCTTTCAGAAAATATATAGTTTGTAAGGGATCCCTTGCAAAAAGTGCCTGGTGAAGGGGGGGTGAGAATTTTATAACGGGAGTTCTCAGGTAGACGTCTTTTTACAA